AAGGAAAAACAAGGCCGGCTTGGCCGTCCGGAGATGGTAGTGGACGGCCTCTAAGTTGGAATGGAGTCCCCTGATATTACAGAAGTCCACAGCGTGGGTGGAAGGGGGTGGTAGTGTCAGGCCTCGTTTGCCCCGGCCTTTAAAGCGAGCGAGCGGAAAGGTGCCCCCCCCAGAATACGCAGGGCGGCCCGCGCGCTTACCCCCAGACTCCAAGCGGGAGTTCAGGCGTAAGCGCGCGGAGGGGGATTCTCCAAAACCAGTGGTTTTGGTACCCCCCTGGGGTACTTTCTCTTTCAATCCCACTGCCATGCTGTATTAAAGGGGGGGGGGGTTGGGCCTCCGGGACCACACTCATCAGACGAAACGCGGAATTTCTTCCACTTCACGCCTGTTTTCTGTGTGGTGGTGGTATTTCACCGGGCGAACCTGGCCAATTCGTGCGAAGATGTTAAAGCGGGTTCTACCACTCTTAAAGTTACCACTAGCTCTTACAGTTTTGCTTTGATTATAGGTACATATATGTTCTTATCTTCACACTTGCTCGTATCAAGTTCAACCTGTAATTAACAGACAAAAACAAGCGTTTATGATTTATTTTGTTACAAAACAAGCTTCCCAGCTATCCTAATTACTTCATACTTTATACCAAGTTATGTGCTTTCCGTAGAAAAGCGGGTAGTTAATATTTTATGTGTGTCGACTTAGCGCGGCTAAGTAAACCAGCTCGCCGCGCCGCGCCGCTCCTAAAATATTAAAACTTTACTACCGAGCCATTTTCAAACCAAGCTTAGACTATCTTTATTATTTTAAAATATTTATTTTGTTATAACACAAGATGGAATAATCAATATCCTACCTGTCAGCCTGAATTGTAAGGGTACAATTCCACTGCCTTGACACGTAATCCCTCTCGTTCTCTTTGCCAAAAACAGCTTATAGGGCACGCGAAACTATTACAATTCTTTTTTCCCAACGTGGTTACAGCGACGCATAGACTTTGTTTCCACGGTACATCTTCCGAGTCGGTTCCGGTGACAAAATGAGGAACCGTGGAAACAAGCCTTAAGATAATACAAAATACACCAAACTGTGTTCTACTTTCACGCTGATCCCAACCTTGACTTGCTCGGAGGCTTGTCTCGACCTTCACTTATGCATAAACTTGTTTAACATATAAGAATATGTAAAAAAAAAGTGACCGTAACATTTATATAATAGTTAGAGGTTTGATAATAAATGTAATATTTAACCATAACCCCCTTGATATCTATATCATGTTTTTAAATAATTTATTCTTTTACGGACAGTAGAACAGAAAATGTCGTATGTAGTAAGGTTGTGTTTACATGATATCATGTCATTTAATTAGTTTGTTTACATCCTTATAATATTTCAAATAATTAAGAACATATATTTTTATAACTTGTACTTTGCAATATATTACATAACTAATTTTAATCAAATCTAGCGATAATGCTTTAAGGTGCAAACGAATAATTAATAAAATTAAGCGAATCTCATTACGAACGCGCCGCGAACAGTCAAATGCCTCCTTTACTTTCTACGAATCGATTATTTCGTCACACGTGTTGGAGGTCTATGTACCGAAGGTCCTTTTTACTAATTGCGTATCAGATCTTATTTTAAACGAGCGAGGGCATTGACCTATATTGATACTTCAGTGCTTTCTTACAAGTGCCTATAAAATGACTGCAATTTACAGTTTTTAATTATTAAAATGCTATAAAATATTACGAAAAATAAATGTTTATTTGCATATGAATTGCAAAAATTATGTTTGCTATATTTAAGAGCACCTTAAACCGACGTGCGTCAGAACTGTGCTAAATGGAAATCCATGGTCTCTGCCTACCCCTATGGGTTACGAGCGTGTTATATTAATATTGTGCTTGAATATACAACCACAACTATTTATTTGAAAAAAAAAACAAATGAAATAGTAAAAAATAAATAAAATGTTTTAAGTTTAACACTCCAGTAGTTCTAGTAAGAAAACCAGCTAGGAACCAAGGACTCACGCAGGCCAAGGTTTATCGAACCTTTCGTGGCATGTCGACTTACTAGTTTCAGTATTAGTATGTTTATAAGTTATATTTTTATTACATTTTATTAAATTTTTATTAAATTAAATAGTAACGAATATGTTCTTCAATAAATCTGTTTATTCGTTTTGTTTTGAATTACGATAATTGATCCATATACTAGATGTCTCCAGCGACTCCGTCTGCGCGCAATTGAAAAACATTTTTGGCCTATGTGTTCTTCCGATCCCTTTAGCCGTTTTAGAGATACCTACAAACATCCATCCATCCATCTAAACATTCGCATTTATAATATTAGTAAGAAGTAAGATTATATCCTGCATCTAGCCACATCATCTTTGATGTCTACAATCCAGCAGACGGCCATAAATGTCAGCTCAAAAATGTCAAGCGCATCATTTGCTTTTGACATTTAAGGTTCTAGACTTGATCTCGTGGTAATCGCTGCGTACAAAAACAAACACGACAGTTGTCGTATGTACAAATGAACCTAGATACTTAAATAAAGCTTTACAAAGCCTAGTAGCCTTTGTGTTCTTCCAGACTAGATCTATGCATTTCAAGATCCGTTGAGCCGTTCCGGAGATAGCTTCTAACAAACATCCATCCATCTAAAGTTTAACATTTATAATATTAGTAAGATGTATTCTTTTCAATCTTGACACATCTTTTTACAGAACCAGAGAGAATAATGAACTTTTCCTATGACGTCTTTGATAACGATAGTGTTATTCTACTCGATAACCAAGTTTTGCAACTTACAAAGTTAAATTTATTGACTAGCCAACATTCTTCATACACTTTTTCAACATGTCCGAACCGCTGAAGCGTAGCTATCTCGATCAGTTTTAATCTTAGCTATATATTCAAGTTTACACATGCATGTTTATGTAGTTGCATCGCTATTCCATTAGGTAATGACTGCATCTAGTTACTACCTACATTTGATAATGGATACCGGCTACAAGTATAACGGATCAGCATTCTATTAAACTTCGATTCAAACTCGTTACTATACAAGCTTTGGAATGGGAACTAAACATATTCAATGACCCGTTTTACAAACATGAATAAAAAGTATTATTTTTATGGTAAAATTATTAAAACGCACGTTGATTATTTGACATACTTAATAGATTCAGTATGCATTTCTTAAGGATTTTTTTTTGAAATATATGTTAGAAAGAAAAACCGAAAATGTGCCAGTGTATTGACGCAACACTACTAAAATGTCGACGTTTATGTCCCCACTATTC